ATGTAGGCTGTTATTGCTATGTTTATATTTGAATTCATACAGGCAGCCAAAATCAATGATAAAAATGCATACTATTTGAGTAGCCATTTTTTCAGAATCTACATTTTATAAGCAGCCAGAAAAAAGCTAATTAAAAAGCTGGCATCCTGACTTGACTGAGCAGACCTGATATAAGACTGCGCGATAATCAGTAATGCAACTCTACTTAATGCTGCTTTGTGAGTTATTACTACTCTTTCGCAAATTGCGGCATTTTGCTTGCAGCACTCGCCATTCTGTAAGCATTTTGGACGATCCGGGCTGCGCTGCTGGAGTCAGAATGTGTTGGGGGGACCACCATTTAAAGCCGTCCAGTATCTCTTGGTGGACGGAAAGGTCCACCATTACAACATGTTTATACCGGTTTTCAATGATGTTGTCGACGTACACACCAGTGCATGAGTGCAAGTTTTCAGGTCTCTGCGGGAAACAAATCTGCGAGTATATATAAGTCGGTATTCTTTCTCGCTAGTGTCTGCGGGAGAGGCGCTGCATAAATACTGGAAGTTAACCTTACAATGTTTTTCGGTTATTTATATGCCTCAAAGGGCATAAGGGTAGGATAAGATGGGCTTCTACCAAGCAAGCACCTTATTTTAAGGAAACACCGACTTACCAGTGTTGGCGGGAATTTCCGCGAAGCAGGGACGCTTCGCGAATTTCTAGGGATATCTGCCGAATGAGAGGATTACTGATCTTGGAATAACTAAAGGAAGAAGAAGAAGAGAAGGAACTGGAGGGCGAGGGTGAGGGTGAGGCGGAGCTCTCCTGTTTTTCCTCCTTAGCCAACCTCGATCTGTGCTGGCCATTACCGGCAGCTTCTTTCTCCTCGTCTGTTGTCAGGTTGATACCACTGTCACTGTCGTTGACGCTGGAGGCGCGGCTGGAAGTCGACAGGACCTCGTGTGTGTCAGACGGAAACGCTGTATAGTCGGTCAGAGTTACTCTCGGTATACTGCAGTGATAGGTAAAAAAAAACCAAACTCGTGTTATGCGGAAAAAGTATGCAGTGCAAAGGTAAGTTACTTTAGAATTTAATTCGCCTTGAAAGTGGAAGTCGAGACTAGCATTATTGTTAATAGCAAGCGCTGAGGCCGTAGTCTGTACCAGTGCCCCAACCGATGCCGCTTCTAAGTCAGCCGAATCAAAAGGGCAGATTAATCTGGAGCACAAAAAGGATTCCTCGTTGGAAATTAAATTGATTTTGAAGGCTAAATGACTCTCCAAATTGCTACGCTGAAAGAGTAACCTGTCAGTTAGTTTTACGATTAGTGGACATGCCAGCGATAGCAGCAACATGGAACGCACACTGCAAATTCAGTGACTTCGCCATTTTAGCCCGTTTCACAGCAAGGCTTACCTGCGCACGTACACTGCGTACTTTTCAGTCTGTCCCAAACGCTGAACCGACTATCTGAGAGACTGCATAATTCTAGATAATGCGATACATTCGGTCAAAGAAAGCTGCTGACCTGTTCAATAGTCTGGTCGTACGCCAGCCCAAAACAGATACTAATTGGGTCACTAGAGCGCCACATGATCGAATGCTAGAGGAAACGCCGAAATTCGAAAGCCAAGTAAAAGGTATCATAAGTTAGTTGAAATGTCAGCAAAGCAACAATTTTCTACAG